GGCAGGAGGGACGGACTGTCACACAGCAACATTGCTGATGTTAAGTGATGAACAGCAACGCAGGCTACAAGGTGGTCTTTCTTTTTCACCTTCCAGTTAGCCAGTTGGATCGTGTTAGCCACCTGCTCCTTATCAGACTTTACAGTTCCCCCTCACACTACTCAATTCCATCATGCCGTCACTTAACTCGTGCATGTAATTTAAAGCTAGATAGACGGCAGGGAAATTGCTTCCTCTGAGGCCCCTACTAATTGACCCCTATCCACAGAGCTCAGCAGTCTTCCCTTAACACGCTCACACACGCTACCGCTACACGAAGTGCAAGTTCGGAGGTTGCCAGCGCAGCCTCTCTCCCCCGTGGCAATGCCATATGGTGTTAAAATTTTCAGGATCAGACGCCGTTCCTGCTGAAATCAATCATCACAACCTATCCCCGGAGAAGGCCATCTCAAACTCCCACTGGCTTGAAATGCAACTCAGAGAGGTGCCTCAGATTTGGAGGCTGGTATTGACTATATCAGGGTGGTATGCAAACATTCACTTGAATAGCGCACGTATCAATTAGCTGGGCTGTTACGAAGAAAGCAAGTGGTAGCACCTATGATGACAGCATGCCTAAACAGGTGATAGTTCACATTTGGGCAGGACCCTTCAGCCCCTCCAATGCAAGTCAGCCTCTCTGCCTGAATTTGTTGCCATGCTAATGAAAATGAGGAGCGGGGCAAATGAGATTCATATGCTGAATGGAGGTGGTTCACTTCAAAGAGAGGGGGATGTAAACTATCGTCAGGCTTCTAATCTTCATAACCTGCAGAAGTTATAGACACGTATACCAATCAGAGGAAAATAAGTAGTCTCTATGGGTAAATAAAGATTATGTCTCTTTAAACCGACTGTAAATTTGAATGAACACAGAATATACATACACAAGTAGGCAGCGTGCAACGTGACGTCAATCTGATTTTTATAGATTTATTATTGCCGTACATAAAATTTTCTAGTAATAATAACATTCTATGAAAAATACTAGAGCATTGGGACACTTTTAATGTGAAAATAGTACAAGAAAAGTAGGAAAAAATAATTCAACTGTTTTAAAAAAAATGCTGGGTGAGAAGCATTCCATTAAAAATGTGAGGGTCAGGGACTAGAAAGCATTCATGTGAATCTGTCTTCAACTCCATGTACTAACTTTGAGAGTTTTATCCTATGCCTTCATTGCACCAGTAGAAAAGACTTAAAGGAAAAAGAGAGAAATGGTTTTCGTGGGATCAGCCAGTTTACTGTTTATTGGTATTATCCTCATTTTTCATTTATTCTGTTTTTAAACATAGTTCCACCCCTTGCCTTAAATCACCCCTGCAACTTGCAGCCACTGTCGAGCACAATTCATAAATCTTACAAGTGTGTAATGTGAGCCCCTCAATCCTTGATGCATTTCCATGGGACTGACTGTGCCTACCAAGGTGCCAGGGGGTCCCCTATGCAGAGTGGGGGCTTCCCCAGGAGCACAGGCCAAATGAGTCACTCCAGCAGCTCACTCCACAGAGAGGCTGCCCTTGCCTGCCCGTCGACACCAACACTGCTGCTGCAGTGCCCTCATGTAGGCCCTGTCACTCTCTGACACCCTTCCAGCTGGTGGCCATACGGCCAGAGCACTGCTGCTGCACTTGTGCTGTAGGCAGCCCTGCTGTCACTCTTTATTACGTAATTTATTTTTTTAAAAAAAGAATAAGAAAGAAGACATAAGGAAAACAACCATAGAAGAAAGTTAGTCTTCCTCTCCTACTGACAAACCACATTTCTGTAATGAAATCAGTCACATCCTGTGACAAAACTTTGTGATGGGCCATGACCTGCAGAGAAGCGATGCCTTACTGACATCTCACAGCTGGAAAGAGAAACCTGTTTCCTTCGAGTCACAGTCCAGCAGCAGAAGAGCTTTTGTGTTTACGTATCTGACAGAGCACAAACAGGAAAGAGTGAGTGGGGGAGAGAGAGAGAGAATGAAGAAAAGAAGTGAAGGCAGGTGGTTATGAGAGCACACAAGTGGCTAATTAAACCATAGGTTTTACTAGTCACAGTGGTTAAACAATTTTAACAGGCGGCATTCTCATAACATGCCTGAAAAGTTTTTACACTGTCGAACACCTTTGTCAGGAGTGAGGAAGTTCTGGAAATGTGCTCAGAGATGCACACAAACCCATAGGAAGATCTGATAACGTTCAAATTTGTTCCAGAGATAGCTCACTTTCTGCACAAATCGATAAGCCATCAGAACCTATCATTTATCACAAACATTAAATCCCAGCAGCATCCTGGTTTGCAAGCCTAATGAGGGAACCTGGCACACAAAGGCACCCCCAGTGCTGGGTGGTGTGGGGAGGATTCTCCATTCCTCTGGCTCAGAGAAATCTCTTTTAGGCTGTATTCAGCATTATAATCCATCATTAACAGACTGGGGCATTGGGTATCTTTGTTGCAAACTTGCTACAAAAGCAACAAAGGCATGCTATTGAGGAAAACAAGAGTTGGAAACCCAATCTAGTTTCTATCCCCTGGGAAGTCCATCCTAGTTTTTGCATTAGCAATGCTGGGTCACCATACATTCACAAAACAGAGCTAAAAGGAGGGAGAGCTATGAATCAAACTTTCAGCAAGGACAGTTCACTCTTGCAGAAATATATTAATTAGTTGTTTTGATGAAGCTGGTTAGGAAAGAGTTAATGGTATCAGCCAAATGTCAGTTAAACCCCCAAATGCTGCTATTGTCCCATGGCAGTGTCAATATCAACACCATTATCTGCATTTATTTAACACGGAATAAATTAATTGGCTCTTAGTGTTGCTTTTTCCCTGGAATCCCTCATCCCACCTCTTCCTGGAGAGAACTCCTGCAAGCAATGAGCAAGGGAATAAACTGCTCTGCAGATATGCACGAGCATACACACACACACACACACACACACACACACACACACACACAAAGACAGAAGTTGCAATTTCTTACTTAGTTTCTGATTTCTGTGACTACAAATCTTGGTGTCACCCGGCATACACTACTGTTCTGTACTAAATCCATCATCCTCGACACCTTCAAATGCATCCGATACGTGCATCTAACCAGCAACACTATAATTTTAATAATGACAAGGGATTAAGTGTGATTACTAGTCTTTTCTCTCACTTGTTTCCTCCCCCTAACGATACCATCCAATTGCCGTTTTCCTCACGGATGTGTATTCTGGTTCCCATTGTCTGTCGTACCCAATACATTAACCGAAATGTCTGCGACATGGGATCTGCCCGTCTCTCCTATGTCTAGTAAACCTGAAAACCTGTTGTTACAGCTTTGGGGAGCACAATACATTGTCAGTTCCGAGGACACATCGTAAAAATAACCGTACATACAGTTCACTCCGAAATCAGTTCAGTCATACCTGTGCTATTCTTCCATTGTGTTTAATACACCACGAACAGGTTATTTCGTAAAAGACATTGCCAAAGAAATCACTTGGGCACGTTTCACCGACTACCAGGCTCTATGGCCAGTTGCCTGTCTGGGACAAATTGCTACCAGCCAACCTGGAGATGAACTCACCATCGCTTTTCCCTGAACTTCTGACAGCGAGAGCGGGGCGTTCTGCTAAAACTTTCCCTTTCCCACCTCCCCGTCCCTACAAACCTCCCCGAATCGTCATTATTGCCGTTAATTAAAAAAAAAAAAGAGAGAGAGAAAAGAAAAAAAAAATAAGAAGAAACCAGAGAGAGCCAGCAGTCTTATGGAAACAGCACGGCAGGTAAACCAGGTTAGCATCGTCCCGTAACGGCCACGAGTTGGCGGGGCGGGGGCCGGCGCCCCCCGACCGTCCCTCCTCGGCCCGGGGCCGGAGGCCAGCGGCCAGGGCCCGGCTCCGCGGGGCGCCGCGGGGGGCGGCGTTTCTCTTCCCTGCGGGGCGGAGAAGGGCGGGCGGCGGGGCCGCACCGCGGGGAGCCGCGCCCGCGGCGGGAGCTCCCTCAGAGCCTGAAGGAGGCCTCGGAGAAGGGATGCTGCATCTTGAAGCTAGACAAGAAGCACTGGAGGGGCGGGGGCAGGGGGTTGAGGAGGGACGGCGGGAGGCTGGGGAAAAAGAAATCATCTCCTCTGACCTCTAGCGAAGTGCCCGGTTTTTTCTTAAGCTCTTCACATTTCCTAAATTTGCAGATCTGGTGTCCCGTTTTGCGGTTCCTGCAACTGCTGCAGACTCCACAGTTGATGAGCCGCTTGCAGGGCACGCACACCCCGCAGCGTTTCCGCTTCTTCTTGGCGGGGTTGCCCGCCCCGGCCCCGGCCCCGCCGCCGGTGCCGCCGGCCCCCCCTCCGCCTCCGCCGCCACCGCCTCCACCGCCCCCCGCGCCGGCGGCGGCTCCCAGGGCGGAGGCGGGCGAGGCCGAGGCGTGGCTCTGCGGGCAGTCCGCCAGGTTGGCGATCTGGAAGGCGCTGTCTGTGACGGCGGCCGAGGCCGCGGCGGGGGAGTGCAGGGCCGTCATGACGATGACCCCGGGGGGCAGGGACAGGCCGCCTAGCGCCGGGATGGCCGAGAAGGTGCCGACGCGGTCGGGGAGGTTCATGATCTCGGCTTCGGTGGCGCCGCACTTGAGCTTGTTCATGCACTCGCCGGCCAGCGGCCGGCAGTGCTCGGGGGCGAGCGTGGAGAGGAAGTTGCCGTTGGCCATGGGCAGGGCGGGCTGCTCGGCCGGCGGGCAGCCGGGCTTGCCCAGCCGCTGCGAGTCGCTCCGGTGGTGCATGCCGCCCCTGCCGGCGTGCAGCGAGGAGGCGGCGGCGGCGGCCGCGGAGGCGGCGGCGGAGGAGGAGGAGGAGGAGGGTTTCCTCGCGCCGCCCGCCGCGCCGCCGCCGCCGCCGCTGCCCCAGAGCATGGCGGTGGCGGCGGCGGCCGTGGCGGTGTCGCAGTTCCAGGGGGACATGCCGATGCGGGCGGCGGCGGCGGCGGCGGCGCTGGGGAAGATGGGGGTGGTGATGCGGGCGATCTTGGCCGCCTGGGGGAAGGCGCCGCCGTTAGTCTTGTAGAAGGTGGCGAAGGAGCGGTACCTCTCCATCTCCGAGTTGTAATCCACAAGGCTGTTGAGGGCCCCCTCGGGCAGGTGGCTGTCCTTGGGCAGCCCTGGCGCCTCGGGGTTGGGGCCGCTCTCCACGCACACGTTGGTGTTCATGGTGGCCGGGTCGGGGGGGGGCGTCGGGGGGGGACGGGACAGGGGGATGGGGGGCCGGGGGGAGAGGGACAGGGCCGGGGGGGGGCGCTTAATCCTCCTCCTCCTCCTCTAGGCGCATCCCCGCGGTCGGTGCCTGGCCGGGCAGCCGTTCCTCCGGCATCCTCACGGGAGCTGCCGCAGCTGAAATACAAAAAGTCATTTCCGAGGGGGTGCGCGCGCGCGGGGGGCGCTCACGGCCGCCCACGGCCACCCCGGGGGGAGGGGGGCACGACACGGGTGGGGGGCACACGCCGCCGTACCCGCGGGCAGAGGGCTTGAAGGGGCGGCCCGGGCAGAGTAAGCCCGGTCCCGGGACAAGGTGGGGGCGGGGGGACACGACACGAGGACCGCGTGCTGCCCACCTACCAGCACCGGGAAAAATGAAAAGGCGGGGAAAAAGGGCGGGGGGAATAAATAAAAAGAATTATGGAAAAAAAAATGAAAAAAAAGGGAGGTGGGGGAGGGAGCCGCCAGCTGCCACGGTGTCCTTCTGCGCCCGGCGGTCATTAGCTGCCTGCCGGCACAGCTGGCTCCGCCGGGCGCTGGTTGCGGCGGCACCGGCCCCCCCCGGCGCTCCCCGACGCCTCCGGGCACGGGGGGGCTGCCTGCGGGCCGCGGGGGGGACGGGACTAGGTTAAAAAAAAAAAAAAATACTTAAGCAATTTCACAGCCTGTGATCCCGGCGCCTGCAGCTGTACTAACGACAGAGTATTTATCCCAGCCTCTCGGGGAGGATTCCCCGCCACCGCCGCCGGGGGCTGCACAGGGAGGGCTGGGGACACACACACACCCCGAGAGGGGGATAGCCCCTTTGCGGGGCAGGGGGTTTCATGCAGAGACAGCCCGGGAACGCTCGGGAGGGCACGTCGCTGTACCTGCTTGAACTAGCCCTCGGCGGGGAAAGATGGCTCTCTGCTTCAGGGCTAGGAAAGTTTAAGAGGGGGCTAAGGACACGGCGTCCGTTTTATTTCCCACCGCCCCCTTCTTCCCCCGGGAGGTGAAGGGGGGTATTTTAGTTTATGGCAATGAGGAAGGTATATTATGGCAGCCTGCGCGAACTAAAGCAAAACATAAGCATAACTTAAAAAGCCCTCAGTTTATGAACACTGCCTCTTTGTTTTCCAGATGCTCTACCTGAATAGTTCAGATATTTCCAGCATCTTTTCTGATGTAGTGCTATCGATCAGAAACGCTCACTCGGGAGGCAGTCGTGGGGCTACGTCTAGTTTCCAGACTCCGGTATGTTTAGTTCAAAATGGTTATCAATTACGGTAATTACGATCATAATTAGATTAATGAACCGTTTGCAGCCCAACCTACCGAGTGCAAAAACTTCGTCTTCTCCCAACGTCGTGCACTAAAAAGCGGGCTTTATGTAAACAAATCCAGATGAAGGGAGCGTAAATCTACAGAAGGAACCTCACCCCCGGCTGCACTGGGGACCGGCGGGCGTCTTTCCGTCGGGGAAAAAAAAAAAAAAAAAAGACCCCGAGCCCGCAGGAGCCACCTCTGTGTTTCCACGTCAGGGAAAAACCCAGACTCTGCTGCCTTCAGAGGTCTAGTGGCAATACAAAGGCTGCCCCGGAAAGCTCTAGGCTAAGCATCGTCTCGTGGAGGGATGCGAAGGATTTGCATATAGCAAAAGAAAAAAAAAAACCCTCTCCCGTTTCCAGAAAGGAAAACGTAGCTGCATATCCTCGATAACAACTACTCAATAAAACTAGTTTTGCCAGCCATGTGTATGAAAGCCCCGCATCTGGTAAGGAATAAAACGTTAGCGTTCAGCCTTTTATGCCAGAAGTCATACGCATTTTCTTGCCCTGTTCCCCCCAGCGTTAAAGTGGTTTCTCTCCAGAAGAGCTTCTCTCGCTGGCTACCTTTTCTCTCCCCGCGATCCCCTCTCAGGGTTTATTGCCACCAGCAGCGAGAAAATGATGGTGCCCACCAACCGGGTCATTATTGTTTAATCGATGCATCTCCGGAGCATGAAAAGGGTACCCGAGACGCAGTTATTGATTTCCCTCCCCCACTAACTATCGCTCTCTTTTCTGCGAATGAAATAAATAAATAGAAATTGCTAGCCGGGCTTTGCGATTCTGTCCCTGCTTAAGCTAAATGTGACCGTACATGTTCAATGTTGCATATCTGCTCTGCCAAAGACAGAGAGATCAAAGGTCATATTTAACATTCAGGAGGAGGGGCGGGTGCAGATTAATTAATAAATTAATATAGCGATGCCTTTTATTGCCCAAGTCTAGCATTAATCTACTTTTACGATCCCAGAGGACAAGAACAACAGGAAAAAAAGAGCCCCCGACAAACCCACAAAATTTGAAAAACACAAAAAACGACCCCTCTAAAAAGAAACAAACAAACCTAAAAACCAAAAACACAAAAACCCAAAACAAAAATAACAACCCACGAAGAATAAGGGGGAAAAGAGGGGGGGGGAAGCAAACCAGTCACTTACCAGGCTCTTTATTTGGGGGGGCTTGAGCGTGCAGACGCTACCAGCCTGTCTGCCTTTAATTAGTTGCACATCAGTCCCTAACACAAAGAAGAAGAAGAAGAAGAAGAAAAACATCCAGATGTGCCTTGGCAGCTCCTCAATTACAACTTTGATACTTGTAAACAAACTGCGAGGGGCGGTGGGGAAGGTGGGGGGGGGTGACAGGGGGGATAAATTAAGCCGCCGATCCACTAAACAAATACCTGTAAGTGGCTTTTTTCCCCCCTCTCCCTCTCTCGCCCGTTGCAGAGAAAGGAGGAGGAGGGGGGGGAGCAGGGGAGGCGGCGGGGGGCGAGGAAGGAGCAGGCACAGAGGGAGGGCGGGAGGGAGTGTGCGTGTGTGTGTCTATGTGTGTGTGTGCGTGTGCGCGGTGGTCTCTGCCGGCGCGCTGCTCGCCGCCCGTCTCCCGGCGCCCGCCCTCGCACACAGCGCCGGGAGTGCGTGTGCGTGTGGCGGTGCGGGGGAGGGGAGGGCGGGGGCGGGAGGCGATCGCCGCCGAGGTGAGGGAGCGCGGCGGGAGGACGCAGGGATGCGGACACCCGCTGCCGCCGCCGCCGAGCGGCGCGCACGGGCCGCGGCGCAGCGCGGGGGGCCGCCCCCGCCGCCGCCCCCTCCGCCCCC